CAGTGCTGAGGCTAATGGTAGCTCCGGTAACTCTGCGTCTGCGGCTGCATCCGCCAATGGCTCTACTGTGAGCGGTGCCAGCACCGAAGCCAACGGTCAGGGTAGCTCTGCTTCCTCCAGTGGAAGCCACGGATCCGGCTCTTCTGGCGTTATCCCGTCCGGTGCCGATGCCATCGGCTTCGGCCCCTCCAGCTCTGCTGTGCCTTCGTTCTCCGTCGCCCCCTCCTCTAGCAGACTTGCCGCCCCTGGCATTCCCACGAGTGCTCCTACCTCGTCTAGCAGCACCTCTGGAACCTCCAGCTCGGGCTCCAGCTCAAGCTCTGGCTCATCGTCTGCCACTACCCCTGCCGCGGCCCTCTTCACTGGTGGTGCTAGCAAGCTGTCCCTCGGTGCGTCCGGCATTCTTGGCGCTCTTGCCATGATGTTGCTGGTTTAAAGCTTTTGACATAATTGTTTTGAAAATGTTTTTGTTGCAATATATCCCATGGAAGCTCTCTTCCCTTCATCGTGGATTCATGTATTATAAGTTCGTCCACATGTTGATGCCGGCGTGATGTCTGTTTGGAGGTCACAACACTCCTGGCTTCAAATTGTTACTTGTCAACTCTCGATAGATTAAATAGTGAATTAAGTGAGCCTGAAAGGCTGTTCACGAATCGTGTAGAACTGTAGTGTAGACATGAGGCTTCCCAGAAGCGCAAGGACCCAGGCAAGTCATCAGTTGATCAAAGCACCGTGCGGAAGTATTAGCCTGTCGTATCAGCAACTTGTTCGGCAAATAAACGACCAGCCTGGCTGACCAGCAGTCCAATTCCACACCACCACAACGCCACAGACTCCAGCCTCGACACGAGAGCCAGGGGCCATTCCAGTGCTCGTCCACACCGTATCCCTGACTCTGCTCCCCAACCAAGCTGGAAGCAAAACGAACCGAGAAGGCGCTCTCCAAAACAATAGCCATTATAGCGAGTCCAGTCCACGACCCAGCCTCCACATCTCTCGATGGTTCTCTCGGTGACTCTCGGTGCTAAGATAGCCCCCTCCCCCATCCGGATCTGAACGCCGTGACACACCGAGTAGTCGGTTGTCGTTAATTGTTCCAGTCCGCAACCCCATGACCACCACCACCACCACCACCGCCCCCGCCACCCCCTTGCGGTAAACCAATATGACAGCTCCGACTGACAGCCTTTTCTCCACCCGGTCGGTGCGTTCAAACTCCATTAAAGTATGCTCATACGATATTCATTGCGCAGAGCAAAAGCCAGGGCACAAAGACTAGCGATGTTTATGGGAATTGTATTTATATGCAACTTACGGGGTGGGGTTGCATGTTGTGTTGTGGGGTGAGCTTGTTCTGGCTGCCACCAGGTTGTGTATGTGTGGTTGGTGCGTGCGTGGCGGATGAAAGATCCCGATCTTGACCGCCGTGGGAGGTGTTTAGTTGGAGAAGGGGGTTGCGTTACGAGGTTGTGGAATGCAAGGGGTGGAAGGTGTATGGGTTGAGGTCTGGGGGGCTTTTTTTTTTTAAAGGAAGAGTTGGAATTGAGTTTGTTGCTTTTGGTTTGAGCGTTGTCAGATGGTGCGAGTGCGGTGGGAAGTCAATTGAGTCTGTGCTGCGCTGCTGCTGTAACACCCCAGACTCAGTAAGGAGGTTTCTCAGGATTCAAGGCAACTTCGTGTCCACCGGAGACGCCAGTTTTTGGATTGTGTTTTGTTTCGGTGGGTGGATGAGGCACAAGTGCCGTCAGTCAGTGGTGGAAACAAAGTTTCTAATTTAGTTGATTGGACCTGTCAAAAAACCCTAACCCACGCAACGCCAAATGTCAACCTAACGCCTACGTCTCCCTCATACCTGTACCTGTACCTGTACCTGTATCCTCACTATCTATCAACTTCCCTACCTAGATACCAGTAAAACCAGATACGCACAGACACCACCCTATCCAGTTGAAACACCGAACCCGAACTCGAACACTGCCTCTGCCTCGAAAGCAACCCCCACCTACCCATCCCCATCCCCAAACCCAAGCCCAATGATAGACTACTGCCTCACAACAGCCTCAATCACCGACTCCATCCCGGGATTCGTATTCCAAATCCCCGTCACCTCCAGCCCGGCCGCTCCCAGCAGCTCCCGCCACTGGCGTTCCGAGCGCTCCACGCCCGCCCCGATGCTCATCATCTGGATATCGAGGGAAGCCTGAAGCAGCGGCACATTGGTATCCGGAAGAACCATATCGACGATCAGCACCCGCGAGTGCGCGGGGTCCATGGCGGCGACAGTGTTCTGCAGGATACGGTGGCAGGTGGCGTCGGGCCAGTCGTGGAAGATGGCGCGGAAGTAGTAGGTTCGTGCGGCTGCCACTGTCAGTATACTTGGCCGGTGATCTCGGTGCTTTGCTGCCTGCTGCTTGCCGCATTGGCCTTGGGTGCAAGGGGTGACCCTACACGACCCAAAAAAAGGAAAAGAGGGGGGGGGGTACCTTTAACAACCTGCTCCTCCAGAAAACTATACCCCATGGCCTCCACCCCCATCCCGACCTCCCAATTCACCACCTTCGGCAAATCCTGCAGCACCCTCCGTCCGGGGAGATCGGGGAACCGGGCCTGGAACGCCAGTAAATCGTGCCCTTGGTTCCCGCCGACATCGACGATCAACACCGCCTCGGGGTCTTCCTGCAATGACGGTAGACCAGGGTCGGTGAGCCGCGTAACCGGGTAGATCTCGAACCACTCGGGTTTCCCTGCGCGCCGACTCGCCATGTACGAGTTGAAGCGCTGCTGGCGCGGTTTGTGCTGCGCCAGCCACTCGAACTGGCTGGCGCCGACGGCCCATTTCATCGGCGCGTGAGCGTATTCCTTGGGGGTGGTGTAGGCGTGCGTTGCGAAGTAGGTGGGGAGGGTGCTGAGGGTGGGGAGGGTTAGGTCGTAGCTTTTCTGCTGTTAGCCTTTTCTTTTTCGGTCTGCTTGCGTGCTTTGGGTTGGGTAGGTTTGTTTGGCTGTTTTGGGGGCATTGCATCGATGAAGGAAAACGTACATGCATGGCACCCCGTCCCGACCAATGGGCTGCACCAGCGCAGCGGTCTTCTCGTTGGCGGCGTAGTGCTCGGCCGTTGGGGTGCTGCACAGCCCTAATGAGGCCATGACGCGCATGAGCCGGACTTTGCTTCGGTAAGTAAGGGCATTTGCACTATCTTTTTGAGGAATGGGAAAGGGTCAGTCAGGGTCACGTACCGATCAACGCCCGCTCCGCCCCGGTCTTCTCGGCCAGCGCGGTCGCGGACAGGCCTGCTGGGCGGTGCTCCATGAGCAGGGGGAACAGGTTCATGTCCATCACGGTGCGGAGGGCGGCGTTCTGCGGGGGCTTTTGTGGGGGTAGCTGCTAGTTAGTGATGAACGGGGATTGTAGCTGCCCAGATGTAAAGGGTCGCACCTGGTAGATTAACCGCAGCAGCGTCTCGGTCGGACTCTCAATGGCCAGGCGCAGCTGGTCCACCAGTCCCAGTAGCTGGAAGTGGGATTTGGCCGTCCGCTCGGGGCTCTCTTCCTGCTGCACGGCTTGCTTGATTTGTTCGAGCAGCGGGAGGAAGGATTCCGGCACGGTGGGCGTGGAAGTACTGCTACTGCTGCTGCTGCTGCTGCTGCCGTCACAGAGGGAAATCGGGGCCATGGTGCCGGACCAGTCCTAGCAAAGCAAAGTCAAGAAAAGCAAGTGGAAGTGAGGGCGTCTGCTTCATGCACAGTCAGGACAAGAATTGCAGTATTGCAGCTCGACAAGGTTTATAGAATGTCTAGAGCGCGTTTCGGGCAGAAGTGGACAGAAAGAAATAACAAAGTCTAAGCAGTTGCTTTTGTTTCCAGCGGTGGATGAACTCCGGGTTGTGTGAACAGCGGTGAGAATCATCTGGCATGGTCCTAGGGCTTTTATACTGCTAGACCCTGCACTGGGTTTGATCCTGGGATGCGGGCTGAGGCGTGCAGCTATCCGTGCAAGACTGGTCGGTAGGGGCACTCTATCAGTATAGGGTATAGGGTTTCCAATAATTTGCTGATGACAGGGCTAGACCCCGCGAGGGGGCGAAGGATTCGGAAATTTAATTTAGTTTTGGGGGTGGTTTGTTTTATTTATTTTATTTATTTTTTTATTTCTAATATTTGCTGGGAGAAAATGAACACGAAACAGGAGAGCAGGCGGATTACGTTGGACACGGTTACACGTTTGATGCACTTCTGGCGGTGGTGATGCTGCACGACAGGGATTATCTTGGTAGGGGTGGAACGGGTGCACGTTGAAACTGGTTTTGGTCTGCGATGAATGTGGAGCGGATTGACAAACTGGGTTCAATGGTGGTGTTCACGATGATGTACTATACTCGGTATCTTCAATCTATTCTGCAAGCTGAGGTATACTTGCGCGCCAGCGGAGTCAGATTACATCAATGGGGGCGAGCAACCAGCCAGACACAGCTGACTGAGAAAGGATCCGACCGTGATACATTCCCGGATCACCTCCAATAGGGCCCCATCGGGCGTTATCAATGCCCATCCCACCCTCGGAGAGAAGCTTCCAATCGTCTTCCTTCCCGGGGTCGCCCGCGCCACACAGCGCCACAGCATCCAGACGGTGTCCGTCATTCTGCACCGGGATAGTATCACATTCGCACGATCGGAATCCTGACATCTGCGCTGTGCAGTGTGATTTACAGATCGAGCAAGTCGTCATCCTCGCTCATCTCCGCCAGGTGTGTCTCGTCACTCCGTCTAATCGCAACCAAATAGCATCACCTTGAAGTCATGTAGTTAGAACCACCGCCCTGAACTCCTCCGCTCCCTCACGCGGGGAGAATATGCGCATGCACGAGTCTGGTTTCCACCATTCACACGAGGTCATCCACGGACCCCTTCTGATCATGCGAGATACGACCCAAGTACATCCCGGGATCCTGGATAGGACGGTCTGTTGGTAGCTGGTTTAGCCGCCGCGATGGGTCCCTTCCTTCGTATGGAGCCCGTCTCCAGATCCATGGATCAACTTTTGCGAGCAGCGAATGGGCTGGATCAGTTGGGTGGAGGGGAGACGCTCAGAGCGTCGCGATCGCAGTCGCCTGGAAAGTCAATCGAGTCGAGTCGAGCGAGCTGCGAGCAACAGCCTGATCAAGTGATCGTCACCACCTCCATGATTCGTTCTCAGCACGTTCCCCTTGGTTCAGGATTTCTTCGAGGCACTCCTCCGTAGCGGTACTCCGTTCTTCTGAACATGTGCTCACTTGATGATCCTGGGGGTCGACGATCAACCGAGGCAGGCGATAAACCCGGATAGATGCTGCCGAATCATAGGATTTTGTTTTTCCCCTTGGATCATTTCTGGGCCTCACCACCAGCCTCAGTTCGTGGGTTTTGTTGATTCCCGAAGGACCAACGGAAGCGTACCTGAAGGGACTTTTGCGTTTTCATATTCTTCCAGAAAAGCACAAAGGACGGTCCAAACGTCCCAGACATGGACTTTCAGTCAGATGAATGAGATGCCGAAGCCGGGATGGACCACCACCCTGGTCTGTGGGACCCAGGGATTGCAGCCAGAACTGATCATCCCTGTGAAACAGAAAAGCAGAGAGAAAAAAAAAATTCCTCAGTGGAGGAAAATGGAGGGGACTGTCGACACGAGATCATCCGATTGCCAGAGAGTGATTGGGCGATTGGATAGCTCATGCATCGAAAGACGCAATATTGCTGCTTGTTGCTTTTTCCGGGCGTGGCGGGTCGAATTTACCCTTACCTCCCTCAGCGAATCAGGTTGCGTCTCGATAGCCTGAAAAAAGAGGATCAAACGACCAGCAAAAGAATTCGGTGAGGCCTGGACGTCTGGAAGGAAAAGAAAGCAAACCGTTGAGAGGAGTGATGAGTATCAAACATGACAAGGCGATGTTTTGACTGAATAGGCCAGTGAAAAAGGGCGGGTTGGGCCCATTGTTTGAGGACGATAATGGCGGGAGGGGAACGGGAAGAAAGCCTTCCCCGAGCCTTTCCGGAAGATCTCGATGGGGTCGTATAGTAGAGGGAGTTACTGAGAGCGAATCAGGTTGCACGGCTCTATTTACCTCCTTCAGGTTGTCTTAGCCTGTGGATAGATCATCGATCATTTGTACGGTACCTCATATGGAGGAAGTCACTAGTCGCCGTGTCTCCACCCGAACTACTCAGACGGAGAGAATTGGCCCATTGAACCATCTCCAGTACACACGGTGGACGAAGCAGAGAGTTCTGAATTCGGTTCGGGATGATCTGTCACTTTGCAACACAACACCCATCGTAACAAAATGGAGTCAAAGTACAACGCGGGACCGTACAAAGTGAGGCGGAGAATTTGTCATTCCTTCAGCTCGCCAAAAGTACCCTGCTGCAGACAAGGACTTAACTTAGTCACCAACCACACAGACACACGGACACTCAGACACTCAGACAGGCGCCTTTGCTGCAGAATTCCCTATCTGCACGCGCAGTTCGTGCCTTTCGCTAACTTGCGTGAACTATTATTTTCTTCCCCTCTTCCCCCCTGCCCCAGTCCGGTAGTGTCGCCGAGAACCGTGGACCTCTTCCAGTCAAATGGCGTTTCTTCAGCTCGGTCGGTAAACTCTTCGCCACACGGCCACTCCGCCAGCTCCACCAAAACAGTGGACCATTGTGGTCTGAATTTCTATTCAAGGAAAAACCCAAAGCTAAAAATGAAGCTTGTGTGCAAGGTGGGATTCAGCGACGGAGACACCAGTCATTCTTTCTTTGTTGCAGTATGACTTTCCCGCGACAGTGGGCCTGTGTCTCCCCTCACATCCCGCTGCCTGCCACAGCACGGCGATTCATCTTCCATTGGCAGACATTTGTCATTTCCCCCAAATCTGCCCCCCTTGGGCTGAACCATGTTTCCCCACTGTGCTGAGACACATTGTGGACAGAGACAAAGATAATACTCCGTAATAAGCATCATAATCTTAGGCACCAAATGGGCAAAAACCAGATTGATCGTCGATCGACCCGCGGGACTTTTTGAATGGCTGATGTTGCGTAGGGGGGGAACCAGGTTCCTGGAGCCGACAACCCGGGTGACTGGGGCATCATCCTGGTCACATCCTGGTCACATCCTGGGCGCATCCTGGCCACTTCCCTCTTTCTAGACGCTGGTTGACGACGGTCGAGAAAGAAACAAAGTGGACGGCATCATGCAGTATCACGCAACTACTTCATCATCACTGGCGATCGCCTGGCAACCCGCTCGTGCAGTCGCCGCTGCAGTGTGATCACTCATCCCTCCAGTAGTCGGATACCTGCCCTGACCGACGGGAAATGCTGGGAAGATGGAAGTACGCTAGCAGAAGACTGGGTGAATAGGGTCAATGAACAGATGCGACTCGTCCCGATCGTGCTTAATGGGGGCTGGGCCCGATCTGGGCCCGTGCGATGGGTTAGAGTTAGGGCTTGAGCTTCTCTCCTGCTCCGTCACTATGTCCCCCTCTTCTCCTCTCCTCTCCTCGTCATCTGCCCCCGACCCACGTCATGCTCACCAGCAAGGGTAAAAAATGGAAAATCAAATTGAAAA